TGTATACTTGGGGAGTGCTTTTAGCCGGGATGGAAGATGTGATTTAGATGTGGACAGGCGTGTCGCTGCCGGGAACAAAGTCAATGGTGCCCTGACTGCGTTAGTCAAAAGGCAAGGCGTAGTGAAGATTGCACGCCTTGCAATACATAACGCAGTGTTGGTACCGACTTTGTTATATGGCAGCGAAACCTGGGTATGCCAGAAGAAGCATAAAAGTAAGTTGAATGCAGTGGAGATGCGATCTCTTCGTAAAATGTGCGGCGTTACCTTGGCCGACCGAAAGCGAAACGAAGAGATTCGCAATATGGCAAGTTTGAAAGATGACATTATCACAAAAATTGATAAGGGCGTGCTTCGGTGGTTTGGGCACGTTGAGCGAATGAGTGAAGACCGAATGGTGAAGAAAATATATAGCGCGAAAGTTAATATTAAAAGGTGTCGAGGTAGACCGAGACAAACTTTCGAAGACCATGTGAGCAAATTGTTTGAAGAGGGTAGGGTCAAGAGTACTCGGATACCTAGACGTGCATGTATGAAGAAGATAATGAATCTGAAAGAAGCGAAAGAGGTATGTAAGGATCGTGACACTTGGCGATCTGTTCTCTCTGGCTACCCCGTCAGGGAATGTGCGTGAAGATAAGTAAGTATCTAAATGATTAGGAGGAAACCTTGTAACACAGGCTTACGTAACCGTATATCCGTAAACAGTACGTCAGTAACAGCTATTGAACAAGTATATGATATAAGTAAAAGTGACAAACGAGCATATATTCCACCTAATGGTAAGTGGATACTGTGGTCATTAGATACTTACATCTATCCTCGATTTATTTATATAATTATGAAAATAAACAAGCCAAAACTTAAAATAAATATTTAGTAAATATTAAATAATAACTCCCGGCAAAAAAAGAATCGAAGGGCTAAGAACACTCTCGATGAAATCTCCTTTCAAACAAAAAATAAACTAAATCTAAATCGGTTCATCCGTTTGGGAGCTACGATGCCATAGACAAGCACACAGATACACAGCATCGCCCTTTTTCGTGGGGTCAATCAGTATAACACCAAATTTCCATTACCATGGAAAATTATTAATTTTACAATGTAAAACAGATACACCTTTGTCATCTTTCATTAAAGCCTTATGGTGCAGTATTAGTATCTTAATAATACTGATACTAATCCTTTCGGATCAGTGAACATAGGCACGAATGACCACTACTTACTAGCTGGTAGACCATTAGCTGCTGATCATGCTTATATAAAAAATAGAGTGTCAAAATTAAATGGAAATACAGAGGCTAAATTAAGAGTAAATACAGATACACTTGTCTTAAGCTACCTGTGCCCAATGTAGAAGTAAAATTAAAAAAAAATCTTAATATAAAGAAGCCTAGACTCTATCTGAAATTAAAATTAAGGATGTGGTGTAGTAGCTACTACATCACATTCTGAATTTGATTAAAAAAACAAGCTTGTTAAAGTTAGGTGTAAGTGAATATATCTTAAGGGCGTACAGTGATATATAATTGTAGGTTGAAAGTGGTCCTCGCGCAGGGCATGGAGTTGTCATGTTCTGAGGAAGCCACCAAGGTGGCTCGGTGTCGGTGAAGCTACATTGACAGAGCAAGTCCGACATAACCTGTTAACCCTGCAATGCAGGTACGCATTTCTCAATAACAAAAAGGTACTTCCTAGTTAGGCTAGGTAAAGTGACTATTTTGGTGTAAAGTAGTAATCATACTAGTTCGTTTAATGGATTTATAAAGTTTATAACTATCCCAAATTTTAATCATATAAGTAAATGATTCTCAAATATTTCTTTAATAATAGACAGACATCAATTTGATATAATAAGCATTTTTTCTAAATTTGCCCAGAAACACTAATAAGAAATCAAGAGATACTTTCTATACTAAAGTGAAGATAAAAAACGAAATGCCCGTGCTTGCCAAAGCATGACCTTTCGAAATCTAATTTACTCGGAGTTACATTTAAAAGGCACAAGTTGATAAGTTGCAGGGACTTAGGTTTACACAATATTATATTTTACGTAAAAAAAAAGTACGTACCTTTTCCTCAGCATAGTTAGTACCTATTTCTTACATCTGAGAGATTTTCATGTAACAACCTAGATTTGATAAACAGATTTCCTTCTGATGGTTTAAGAGTTTATTAATTGGTCTAGCATTTATCATTAGCATTATCATCAAGGACTATCTCCTTACAATAAGATTACTGCTGTCTTGCTCCATAATATATCAGGAGGCTTTCGTTTTAATTTTCTGATTTTTCTTTTTGAAGTTACAAACGATTATTATATTATGAGCGTAGATTCCACCTCATGAAAAGTGGCTGTTGTAACCCATCAACGTCAGCAACCAACTAATCATTTCATATCTAGGGCTACATTACAACTTACATTCAGATAGGATAGCAATTGTGCTAATTACTATCTTAAATGGTTTATAATAAGGGAAAAATTGTGGAACATTTATTATATAATTGCCTTTACAAACCACGACATCTAACACAATATCAGTTGATTTTTTATTTCTTTCATAATTTACAGCCTATTAAAGTCTTCCCCAAAGGAAATTTGATGTACACGCTTCACAGGTGGGTTGTCTACCGTAGTTTTTTAATTTATATATATAGATAAGCAGTATGCTACTGCCCATCTCGTTTCAGTTTCCTTCTGTGGCTGTTTCCTTGTATGTGGATGATAAGGGCTTTTCAATGAACTCTAGGAAGGTGGTCGATTGGGTACTGGAGTGGATGGATTACTCAGTGACAATATTATCTAGTAATTTGTTTCCGGCTTAAAGCAAGTTTATTTTTATATTTATTTGTAAACGCTACAAAAAACCAACTCTTTTTAATTTTTTATTGCGTGAAGTTAGTTAAGACTCTCTATTATTCACAGTTCATCTTGTACCTAAGACAAGATACACGAGGGACATTTACCTGCCGACACAGTGCCAGCCTGACAATTGCGTTAAAGGGAATTGAAATCTTGATGACATAAATAAACATAAAGTGTCTATCTGTAAGATAGCAATATCTGCCTTATATTGTGTTGAGACAATGTAACCTTCGAAACAACTTAAATGATCTTTATGAAACTTTACGAACAGATAGATAGAGATATATCTTAATAATCCGAAAATCTTGAAGATTTCTTTGAAATAACAAAAACTAAATACATACATGAACTCTGAATATAGGTATTAAATCGAAGTAACGCCACATTAATAAATCCTGCCCTGAGAAACCAGGGCAAATCACTGGTTGTTTAATAAAAGGATCCACCGGAAGGAAGTTAGCGCAGATTATTTTTTTAAATTAAATTGTGTGTCAATTAAGTGCTCCTTAAATGTTCCCTTAGAACCCATAAATTGCTCCAGGTCTATTGCTATTAGTTGATTTTTAATTACCTTTTAAACAATTAAATTTTTGAAAATTACATTTGCTATAAAACATAAAATATCTCCTTTTTAAAATTAAAAATTCAATTAAAATATTTTTTTTTTAATTGAATATATAATTAATTGATTCTTAAATGTTTTCTTAGAATACATAATTGCTACACGTCTTATAGTATTAGTTAATTTATAATTAATTAAAGAAAACAATTTTCGAAAACTTTATTTTGTTCTAAATCATAGCATATCTACTATTTTAAATTAAATGCTCTCTTAGAATCTAATTGGCATACATCATCGTCATGACTACATCGCTTCACAAGTCGACTGCTGAACATAGTCCCCCCCCCCAAAAGAATGCCAAAAAGCACAGTCCTAAGCCACCTACATATATCGATTTCCTACATGTCTTACCAGGTTGTCACTCCATCTAGTGGGGGGTCGCCCTACACTTCGCCTACCGGTACGAGGCTGCCACTCGAGAACCCTTTTTCTCCATCGGTTGTTGAGGTTGTCGGTTCTTCGAGCTATATGGCCGGCCCATTGCCACTTCAGCTTACTAATCCGTTAGGCTATGTCAGTCATTCTTGTTCTACTGCAGATAGATATCCTCATTTCTAAGTTTATCACGCAGAGAAACCCCAAGCATAGCCCTTTTCATAGCTCGCTGAGCGACCTTGAGCTTCCTCATACGGCCAGCAGTGAAGAACCACGTCTCAGTTCCATAATTTATCACTGGCAACACGCACTGGTTGTACAGTTTTGTTTTCAAGTTTTGCGTATACCTGACGGGAAGATGTGTCATAATTTTCCGAACGTTGCCCAGCCGAGTTGAATCCATCGATTGACCTCTTGGTCGAAGTTGGACTTACCTAGTCAGACTATTTGTCCCAGGTAAACATACTCGTCAACAACTTCGAGCTTAGTGCTCCCAACAACTACATGACATGGACATACATATTACTACATATCCATTGGGAAGTACTATTGAGGTCAGAGCATAGTGCTTAGGTCCTCCAGCGATTCTGCTATACGGACTATAACGTCTGCAAATCGAAGGTGAGTGATGCAGGTCAGTGAAATTAATTGATAGACAGTTTAATTTAAAAAGTAGAAATTTATTATTTTAAAGCAATTTTAAATTTTCAAAAATTGTTTTTTTTTTTTAAATAATTATAAATTAACTAATAGCAATAGACGTAGAGCAATTACGGATTCTAAGAGACATTGAAATTCATTTAAGAAGCATTGAATTGGCGTAGAATATTATTTTTATAAATTAAACTGTATTCAATTTAAAAAAAAATATTCTACGCTAACTTCCTTCCGGTAAAGGATCCTCAATTATTTTTATTAACAGGTTGAATGCCGGAATCCCCGCGCGGAGTTGGCGGGAATTTCGTTACAGTGCCGCCGACTCCGCGCGGGGGTGAATAGCCGTTATGATCTATTGTCTCAGTACGCCGCCGGCATCGTAGATAGGCGGTTGTTTTGCAGTTAGCGTGGATCTATAGCCTAGTGTACGTCGTAAAATAATTTTGGTTTTTGAATTTCTTTTTTTATATGAGAGCCATGGACGCTGAAACTCCGCGTTCATCATTTGGCAAACAGCAACGTAAACGCCGTCTTGTGTTTATTTCCTCACCCGAAACATCTGAAAGTGAAGAACCTGCGATGATTACCTTGACACTTACTAATATATTACGAACCGAAACATCGGAAAATGAGGAATCCGCGCTTACTACCTTGCCACGTAATTGCACATTACGAAAGAAAAACACTGCGATTCAAGATTCTGAGGTTACGGAGATTATTGAACAAATTGACTCTGACTTTAGTGCCTCGTCTTCCGATAATTATCAACCAGATTCGACTGGTTCGTCGTCTTCAGACTCTGAAAATACGCCCTTTGAAGATAGTCAAGTCGAGTGCTCTGCCGCAGAACACGAGCAGCCTCATTTGTCTACGTCACTCCAAGTTCAGCAGGATTTGGTATCGCTAAATGTTCCTGGACCCTCTCAAGGGCAAAGGGCGCGAGAAAGACCATCTGTACCTTGGTCAACCACAAATGAAGGTATGAAGACTTTCGATTTCACGGAAAACGTTGGTTTGAAAGTGACGGTATCCAATGAGTTAAACGCAATAGATTTTTTAAGTCTTTTTCTCGATGATGAATTCCTGACATATATTGTTCGAGAAACTAATAAGCACGCTGCTGATGTTTTGATGAAGCCAGGAGTTGGGCCGAAATCAAGAATAACGGGCTGGAAAGACACAAATGTCGCCGAGATGAAAGTATTTTTTGGCATAATTTTGCATATGGGTATTATTCGTCTCAATCGTTTGACGGACTACTGGAAAAAGGATCGTTTATTCAACATTCAAATTTTCAGACAGTATATGTCGCGAAACAGGTTTTTGCTGCTGTTTAGATGCTTGCATTTTTCCAGTTCATCAGTAGGGGGATTGAGCAAAGTCGACGAATTGATTAAACGATTTAATGACATGATGAATGATCTGATATGCGCTCAGAAGGAATTATCACTCGACGAAAGTATGATTCTCTACAGAGGTCGTTTATTTTTTAGACAATTTATAAAAAACAAGAAGCATAAATATGGGATGAAGCTGTACATGCTCACAGAGCCCGATGGCCTCGTTCTGAGACTGCATCTGTATGGAGGCTCCGCCGATATAACAAGTGGAAAAGGGCACACAGAAAAGGTGGTGCTACACCTATTGAAAGATTTTCTAGAGAAAGGCCATTCAGTTTATATGGACAACTTCTACAATGGGTATAATTTAGCCGCGAAGTTACTTACTCACAAGACTTACTGCACGGGAACTCTAAGAAAAAATCGCGACTGCAATCCTGAGATTGTGAGTAGTAAAATGAAAAAGGGAGAGAATAAATCTGTTTTTCATAATGGAATTCACATTGGATGCCATAGGGATAAACGATACATTCCATACATATCGACAGAACATGATGATGAAATGGTTACGGTGACCAACAAAAGGGGAATCTCAAAAGAGAAACCAAAAGCTTTAGCTTTTTATAATAGGTTCATGTCTGGCATTGACAGGCAAGATCAAATGTTGTCGTACTACCCGTGTGAACGGAAAACGCTGCGCTGGTATAAAAAGTTCTTTATACATATATTTCAAATACAGATTTTGAATGCCTACATCTTATATAACAGATTTTCCGGGAAACGCTTAAATATGTACGAGTTCAGGATGTCCCTCATAAATGAGTTATTACCGCCAAAGGTTTATTCAATTTCAACTAGCTCACTAGTTCCCACTCGTTCGGAACGAGTTCACAAACTAACTAAAATAGAAAACAAAACCGAAGAAACTAAAAAAGATGCGCCTGGATATGTAAGAAAAACCAATAGAGTAAAACGAAAGGTTTGTCGGCAATGTACCGCTGCAAGAAAAATACGTAAGCAGACACGCTACCACTGTGTTTCATGCCAAGAGCAGCCTGGGCTTTGTGACCAGGAGTGTTTCGATGCATATCATGCTGGTCTAAATTAAATATTATATGATTTTTTTTTGTAAGAATTTGATTTGTTTCAATTTTTTTTTCTAGTGTTACTGATGGAAACTAAAATTGTGGTTTTTCTAGTAATTGTTGATTTTTTATTTTAATTGCTAAGAATGTCAAAGTATATGAAAAAAAAATTTTACAATAAAAGCATTCTGTAAAAATCTAACATTTGTGTTTTCTTTCAAAACTGAAATTAAAATATATTGTTTAGTGCCAAGCGACTCCGCGGTGAGTTACCTCCGCGCGGAGTTGTATGGCATCATGCACTGGAAAAGTCATTACGCTCTGCTGACGACTCCGCGTGGAGTCGACTCCGCGCGGAGTTTCATGGCGTCATGCTCTGGAAAAACCGTTGTACTCTGCCGACGACTCCGCGTGGGTACTTATATAAATATATAGCTTATATATATACTATACGCTATGTATCAATGTAATTACTGTTCTTATATGTATACTCACATATTTACATAAAAAACAGTAACTGGCATCGCGGATAAAAAAAAATTGTATGAAGCTAAATTCCGGCAATCAACCTGTTAAGTAATGTATTTTGTGAGCGTATTCGCAGCATTGAATATATTTATTTTTCAAATGTAGTTTCTTAGTACAGTTCTGTAAGGATTTGTTTAATAATAATAATAATAATAATATATTTATTTGCTTAAACATGGTATGAAAAGGTTTTACAAATAATATACAATTGAGCAACATGTTTTGCTACAGTTACATATAGCATGCAAAATTTTTGTTTTGTACATTAAGGGTTATGATTAAAAAAGTCTATAATGCTGTAGAAATTATTCTTAGTTAGGTATTCTTGTAATTTAGATTTAAATAATTTAGTATTTAATATTTTTAGATCATTTGGTAACTTGTTATAAATACGTACACACATAGATAGACAACTTTTATTATATTTACTTATTCTAGGTGTGTTACTTAAAATGAGCTTGTATGGATTTCGTCGGTTTCGAGGATTTGCATCATTTGCCGTGTTAAATAAATATTTATGCTTCCATACGAACATGCATATTTCATAAATATAAAGACACGGGAAGGGTAATAAGTCAAGTTTTTTAAACATCTGTTGACATGAATCAGTTGGTTTAAGCCCACATATTGCTCTGATGCATTTTTTTTGTGCACTAAATGCTCTATTTTGATCCGTGCTTTTACCCCAGATTATAAGTCCATAGCGCAGTATTGACTCTACGTATGCATGGTAGGACAGAACAGCCGTTTTTATGTTTGTAACGTTTTTTAAATGTTTAAGGGCGTATGCAAACTTATTTAATCTCGTAGATACATCGTTTACATGCAATTTCCAGTTTAAATTTTCGTCTATAGTTATTCCTAAAAATGTTTTATTTGTTACTGCTTTTATTTTTGGTATGTTAAGATTAAAATTATATTTCTTGTTATTACATTTATTGAATTGTATATATACAGATTTGTCAAGATTTATTTTCAAATTGTTTATGTCAGTCTCGTGGTCATTAATAGTATTACATTTTTTATTAGAGGTCACAATTATTGAAATGTCATCCGCGAATAATATGCATTTATGATTTGTTACATTAACAATGTCATTTATATATAATAGAAATAAAATAGGACCGAGCACACTTCCTTGTGGAACGCCATACCTATTGAATCTATATTTAGACGAATACGGTATGATATCCTTATTTTCATCTATTTTCATGACCGTAACACATTGCTGTCTGTTACTAAGGTATGAAGATATCCATTGAAGAGTATGTCCTCTAATCCCAAGCTTTTCGAGTTTTTGTAGCAGGAGGTCGTGTGACACCAAGTCAAAAGCTTTAGATAGGTCAAAAATAGCCCTGTAGTTAAATTATTATTGTTTAAATTTTCCAGTATCATTTTTAGGAGAGAAAAAATGGCCAACGTTGTAGATTTGTCTTTTTGAAATCCGTATTGTTCGTTAATTATAATATTATATTTATTGCAGAATTCGATTATTCTTTTGTACATACACTTTTCTTATATTTTGGACATAATAGGTATCAACGTTATTGGGCGATAATTGTTGACTATATATTTCTCTCCTTTTTTAAACAGTGGTTTAACAATGGATAACTTAAGTGCATCTGGAAAAGTTCCACACGAAAAAGATAAATTTATTAAATGAGTCACGATTTCTATAATTTCGTTGATACAAATTTTTATAATTTTTGTACCTATGTCGTCATAGCCCGCAGAATTAGTATTTTTTAATGACATTGTCTCTCTTTTAACTTCGTCTTTCGACATAGGTTTGAGAAACATAGAGTTAATATGATAACTGTTACTTAGTAAGTTTTTTCTTTTTGTGTGTGTTGTTTCGTGTGTTGAATTAATGTAGTGATTGTTAAACGCAGAGGCTATTTCTATCGGGTTCGTGATAACTGCGTTATTAATTATAATTTTTTCTATGTTGTTTTTGCTATGTAAGCTACCTATTTCCTTTTTAATAATGTTCCACGTGGCCTTACACTTGTTGTCATTGTTATTAATAAATTTTACGTTGGAATTTTTTTTTTAAATTATAAATACATTTTCTTAATAATTTGGAATATGTCATATATTTTGCTTTATTAACAGCATTTGTATTTCTATAGTATTTATATCTTAAGATTCGTTTGGTTTTAGAACTTATTTTAATTCCTTTACTTATCCAATTTTGTTTCTTATTACTATTTATATCTACTTTAATTCGTACTTTTGGAAAACAAAGATTATAGAAAAGACAAAATAAGTCATGAAAGCTACTGAAAGCGACGTTAGCATCATTTGCCGTATACGCTTCAGACCAATACATTTTTTGTAGACATTCTTTAAATTTCCTAATATTATCTAAGTTGTAATCTCTTTTGTAAATATAGTATATCGCTTGCTTTTGTATATCACGTTTTAAAGGAAAGCTTAACAATTGTGCTGTGTCGTGATCACATAGATAAAGTGGTAACACTGTTGCAGCTGCATCCGGAATATTACTCAAAATATGATCGATGCAAGATGACTTACGGGTAGGTACATCAATGTGTATTTTTAAATTGTAATTATAGCATAAATCTTGAAGTTCTTTTGTGATATAACCTCTTTTTAATGTGTTTATGTTAAAGTCACCAGCCAATACTAAACGTACTCTAGATTTGTATTTCATAGTTAAATCGTGTAAAAGATTATTTAGTTTAGATAGAAATTGGGTCGGATCTGATTGGGGAGTTCTGTAGAGACAAACAGTTATTAATTTAATACACGTTAGTTCTATGCCGCAAACTTCAAACGTATTCTGGGACGCATATTTTTTTATAAATGACAGTTCATTAAAAATCAATCCTTTTTTAACTAAGATGCAAGTTCCCCCTCTTTGCTTTTCTCTGCAGAAATTAGCTGCCATTACATAACCGCTTATTCTTAAAAGATTCTCATAACCTTTTTTTATAAAAGTTTCCGAAAGACATATGACATCCGGATTATTGCTTCTATCCCATCACTCATGTATAGTGATTTCTATTAAATCTTGTTTCAACAAAGCACTGGCAATATTTTGATGTAAAATTTTAAAATTATGTGCAGTAGTAATTTGGTTTTTACGGTCGAAAAAATGTATTATTCTTTTTTAATACGGGAAAATAATATGGTATAGTTCCTCTTTTAAAAATTTCAACTGGTTTTGTGTACTTTTCAGTTTGTTTTTTAAAGTAAAAGGGGATTTTACCTTTTTTGGGTTCGTTTAAGATTTTAAAACTTGACTTATTACTTGTATGTATATGTTTACTGATTTCGATAGGTTTTAAGCATTTTTTTGCGTAATCATTACAGTCAACAACATAATTAATTAGTTTACAAATTTCCGAACGATTTGAGTTTTTACAATCCAAAAAATGACAATTTTTATATTTCTTACATATATTCCTCATAAGATAATTTAATTTGTTAACGTTTATATACATATTTTCAATAACATTTAGCACAATTATCGTATTATTACTAAAGGTGTCTAGTATAAATTGTAGTTGTGATAGAACTAGCCTTATATTATAATCATTTTCTCCTATACAAATAATGAGTTTATCATCTGGTTTTAGTGTCATGTTTTGGCAGTTTTTTATTATTTCGTAGCTTGGTGCATATGGCTTCGTTTGAGCAGTAACTTTATAGTTTTCGTATTGAGTCATGTGTCTTGAATGTGATATAGCTGCAGCCAGGCCGACGCATTGTTGGGAACCGATAATGTGAATTTTTTTTACGGGGTCGGGTTTATGTTGTACAGTGATTGGATATGAGGTCTTATTCAGTTTTTTATCGAGTTTTTAAGGTACATTTTTTGTGTCAGATTCTTTATTTTTTTCCGTAAGACCTGTGATCTCTTTTTCTGCTTCCTTAAGTTGTTTTTGCAAGTCGCTAATTTTTCGTTGCAGGCACAATATTACTGTGTTAGTATGAGAATTGACGTGTGACTTGATTGTTGGTGAAGATGGTACAGAGGACACGCTAGGAATTAATAAGGAGTTTCTTTTCTTCTTATTTTTATTAAAAATTCCAGGACTACCTTCTATTGCTGTAGGAGAATGGCAGAGTGATTTTAAAATTTTATTTTCCGATGTTAATTTATGTATTTGTCTGTGCAGATCATTATTTTCTAATATCAAATTTTCTAATTCATTTTGAGTACTTTCAAGTGTACAGGTTAACTGAGATACCGTTATTTTCATATCTGAGATTGATGTTATGTCAGTAACGGTCCCGTCTACACTTTTCGACAGTTTACTAGGCGTGGTAAATGACTCATCTGTTATATTGTAATCGGTAAGTATGTGAGAATCCAGCACGTAAGAAGTATTCTGGTCCGATAACTGTGATGATTCAAAACATTGTAATTTTTCTGGTGGTTTTTCTGGTGAAGGCGAAGTACATTGTTTTGTGAGATTAGGTTTCTTTCTCGTTGTGATATTATGCATGTCGCTGTTGATGTCTTTTTTATTTTTAATACACATTTTACATCGCCACTTCTTTTTTGCTGCCTGATCCAATAGGCGGTATGTTTTTTCCGGATATCCATCACATTCTAATTCATACCTGTTTTTACATATTGAACATAACGCAGTTTGTTTTTTGTCAACTATGTTTTTGCATTTGTAACATGTTACTTTTGCCGGCATCTTGTGGCCGCTATTGGTAGTTTTCGCGTTGATTTTAGACGTCATACTGTGAATTTACGTAGTTAAATGTTAATTATACTAAGCACAAAGAATTTTCTCTGTCCTTCAAAAGATGTCGCTGTTATTGATATGTATCTGTATCTGTGTGATAACTGTATCTTCAAAATTTAAATTAACGGTTCTATATAATATTTATGTTCGATGTTTTTCCAATAAGATTTGTTTAGTTAATGAATTGATAAATTGAAATGTTTAATTGTTACTTCAATAAGAATTAACTTAGTACACCCTCCAATGAATGTATAAATGTGTTTTCTATTATTTTGCACTACTTTTTTACACTTCACTTTTAATCGTTTGTTACTTTTGTTAGGTTAAATTTTTTTTCACTAATAACAGTATATAGTTTATATCAACACTAACTATTCACAACTATTACACGAATTAGGTTATTATCACTGTAAAACAATTTTTTTAACTGTTTTAAACACGAGCTCGATGTTTACCGTGTCACTAGCGACACCTATTTAGTAGTTTTAAATTAAACAGATAGGAATAAAAGGTGTAACATAATTTGAATCGAAATTGCTTGAAAGTCCCTGAGGACACTGTTACTATTCATAGCTTTCAAGGCTTACAAATGAAGCGAGTTGTGTTAGAATACATAATGTTTATTTTTGCAATACCTATTAACAACTGCAAAGGAAACTAAATCTCGAAAAGAAATACAGGAATTCGATGGATGCAAGTGGTTTAAGATTGTGACTTTTGGCAAAGACTATCTTCAGTAGAGGACTTGTGAAGGGCCAATGATGCCGATGATGATGATAATTACAAAATCTTGTTTTCGTTAATTTTTAACATTTTAACTACTAGAAATACGACGTGAAAATGGCTATATGGCTTTTTTATATGGAAAAAGGATGACAAGCCAGCACACATTTTGCCTTGAGGTATGTGGTTTCTGTGGCTTATACACATTTACATATATACTCGATTAAATATCAAAATGTAGATGATGTGTTTCAAATGTGTTGTGATACCTCAGGATTAAGACAGTATGCTCCGTTTCTAGTAATAAGGGGCTCTGGTTGTCTACACTCACCATTTAAAACACGAAAGAGAACGTTTCCCCGATTCCCCAGTCGAGTCGACCCATTCGTGGAACAACCAACATAGCTGTAGCATAGCTCTACCAAGTATCATAAACGTCTATGGCCCACAGCATTCACTTACCATCAAGTGGAGTGTGTTCGTAAGTTCTCACTTCGTCTAAAAAATTATATAATATGTGTTTTTCAAAAATACACAAACTGGTATAAAACTTAAAATAATTGTTCATACTCACTACACTGGGCAGTTGGTAATGTGAAATTTTACACAAAAACCTGTTTTACACACTGTTTTAAAATATGCAAACATGAATGCCGTGATTGCTGTTTGCATATTGTTGGAAAGTTTGGTCGTTTTGAGTGACCACATTCGTTCTGTTTTTATTTGAATAGAGAACGATTTTGTTTAAATTCGCCGATGAAAATATTGATATATGTGCTTGTGAAATTTGTAAAATGGAGTAAATATAATACAAGTAGCAGCAAATATTCGTATAGCTGGATGGAGCGTATTTTTGGATTAATCATTTATTTTTATTGTTTTTATGCCATTAATAGTCAGGCGTTACTTTGCGAAAATCCCTTATATTAAAGATATTAAAAATCAATTAGCTTAGATACGCGTAATAAAATAAATGATGTGTCTTACCTAGTTTAAAGAAAACCTCCCGTCCTCCCTCATTTGCGTGCACTATCCCCGTTACCACAAATCCCAGCACCATTACTCCCAACACCACCACACTAGGAAAGACACACAAACGTCGATAATATGACAAGTGTTATTATGCCTGCAGTTGATGGTCACTGGTGCCTTGAAAACGTGATACGTGTTAATTATTGGCGGGATGGCTATGTTCAGCTGTGAAATTAAGACTGTTTATAAATAAGGCAAAAGAGAATAGAATTCTGCAAAAAGAAGGTGTGTCAAGTTTATTTAAAAAAAATCGTGGAACACAGAAATCTGAGGACATTTTCGTTTCACATTTGACACTGATTCAACAATAATTACTAAAGATAACAAACGATCTAATAAAGAAGAACATTCGCCTTATTGTGCAAAGCTGCAAGGTACGTTATTAAACCTGTAATCGTGTATAGACTAAAGCAAGGGTTATATTTTCAGCGTTTCAAGTATTAGGTAAGAGAAGTTAGTTTTTAGAAAAAGAAAATTCGGATAGTTCACAATTTGTCAGGTGTGGGGTTCGAACCCACGCTCCCTCTCGGGAACCAGAGCTTAAATCTGGCGCCTTAGACCACTCGGCCAACCTGACTTGTTAAATTAATATCAAATATACATACATATAATATTAACTTTAAATAAAATAAATATCGCCTATAACAATATAGTTCAAAGGGTAAATAAAAACTATTCCTTTCATTGCATTAGCGTGCCGATAAAACGATGTTTTCATAAAAGCTAGACGATTATTATACGATAATAAAACATCAAATAGCAATAACGAGTAAAGTGACCATAAGTTCTAGATTTTTTAAGAAAGTCTCGAAATAGCATTTGTAATTCCGCATCGTGATTGTTAAATAAGGTAGAATATAAAATAAGCTCGCAAAAAGTATTACATAATATGAATCTAGAATTTCCGACATTTCACAGAAAATCTCGCCTTATGCAACCTTTCTTTTTACAACGTTGATAGATGACATTTTATTCAATATAGACTACACGAAATAATTGATAGAATCAGGCGTTACTTTGCGGAAATCCATTATAATGGGATTGTTATGAACTAATTTGCTTAATTCCGCGTAAAGTAAGAAAATGATGTGTCCTGCCCAGTTTTAAGGGGACCTCCCACCCTCCCTCAATCGCGCGCACTATACCCGTCACCGTTACTCCCAGCACTACCACCCTCAGCACCACCACACTAGGCACGACACACTACTCTTGAAAATACGACATGTGTTTCGCCTCTACACGAGGCATCCTCAGGTGAAGTAGACTCTGCGGAGGCTGGCCACGAAGTGAGCGGCACAGAAAACTATTACTCCTACGGAGAAGAATGCCAACTTCATATAAAATAAAATGAATATACCCACTAGCTCCATCTATAGTCGGCCCACATGCAATATTTTCGTGGCGGGAAAATTTGAACGTTGCTCTTTTTTTTGGGGGGGGGATATTTGAGGTATTTTTTGGGTTGCCTATCCCAGCGCTGAATAAAAGAACAATAAATTACAGTTTTCTATTTATTTATTCAAAATACAAATTAAAATTAAAAATATACATAATTAAAAAAGTACTTTACAAAACTGGAGTTTTAGGTATAAATTATAGAAATGACAAGTAATTACTCTTTCACAACATGTTCTACCCACTAATTACCTATATGAGAAAAAGATATGAAAGCATGTACCACCTTTTCTCATAACTTTTCTTTTTATAAGTCTGGGTGTTATCAGGACCGTAATAATGAGCCTACAACGTCTGTCTTGTTGACTTATTATTACAGTCCTGATGGAATGTGACCACCATACATGCGGCATCGCCGACGCGACCAGTATTTGTATGCTGGCTACCTAATAGCAGGTGGTTCTAAAGTACAAAAAAGCATTTCTCGAACATGCATAATACTAAAACACAACAGACGGAAGACAAAATTACTCCAGCAACTTAGTTCTATCTATAGTCATTAGATAAGTTTAAACAAGAAAATAAAATTCAATATTTATCATAATATTGCAATTACCTATGTAAAACAATGATAAAAATAATATTATATATAATTTACAATCATGAATGAATTGATATTATATATATTTTTCTCAAACAACTTAATTAATAAAAAAGATCTTGCATTGCCCCTGGCAAAGTGTAAAAATTCATAAACTAATTTTAACAATATGTGGTTGTCTATTTATTTCCCTGAATTAACACTTAAAATGTCTCTTTATATAATTTCTTATAATTTATTTTAGTTGATTAATTTAGGTGACTAGATTTTTATGTAAAATTCTGCAACAAGCTTTGTCAAACAATTTATATAAAATGCAGAACTACTCTTCAAATTACCTGTTCCAATCTCACTACCAGATGAAATATTTGTTCTGCACTAAATGTCATATTCCATAAATAAATTTCAAAAACGCTTTAACAAATGTGGTGTATTAAAAAGTGTCACTATTTCTTTGTTGTGGAATGTAAAATAGGGTTGTTGCATATTTGCACCCAAAATAGACAGAACTCGCCAATTTACTCCATCTATGTCACAGACTGATGTAGATATATTTATCCCAGCCTGAAAGCACCGATTTAAGACCTGAAATTAAAAATCAAATATAGTTTACTACTGTTGAGATTGTTAAGTCAACATTTCTAGATATTTAAAGAAAATGAAACATCATATAAAGTACTATAAACTACCTCTTTCATTAGTACAGCAAGTCTATTTGCAGTTGAAAATGCACTGGAGAAATAGTGGGTACCATGGTACCATGATCTCGATAACCTTCGATAAAGTCATCTTTTGGGTTGTACATTTCTTGGAAGCATTAGTGAAATCACCATCATTAAAATGTTTTTCACACAGCATTCTGTTCTCATTATGTAGCTTTGCCTGGAAAGCTAGTATACTACTCTTTGGCAGGAAACAAATATTTCGCCCACAATGTACAGCTGAAACAAAAAATATTATTATTAAATACGAATATTATCAAAGTAGTTCCAGTGGTTTACTAACCAATAATTTGTTTATAGATGGTTATGAGAAAATAACCTTTATAAGTTGGATAAAGAGTTAACTCTTCAAGGTTAGAACTTGAAGTGAATAAATACGTACCGAAAAATGTTCTTTACTGCAGACTGCGGGTTTCGAAAAAATAAATAATTTAATGTTGTCTACGGCCGGTGAGCTGCCGCACTTAAAACACTTCCTTCTATTTTCTTTATCCGCCATTGCACAGCACGGTTTTTAGAGT